TTGCAAAATCTGTAGTTTTGAATACTTGTTCTTAAAGCAAATGCAGCCATTGTATCAACTAGCTTGTGTCTTTGGGAACAACACTGCTTTTTACTACATGATTTTGCTAACACACTTCCTTGGAAGCAAGTGCTTGGTTTGTTTAATAAATAATTTGAAAGCAGAAAATGTCTGCACTGAACTAGCATTTCTTCCTTCCCTCCTTCTCCCCTTGTAATTTCCTTCAGAGAGCTGCCTTTTATCCAAGATGTTTTCTTAACATTTTCCCAAAGAGCTCTATGGCTGAGTCTTAACTAGGGTTTCTCAGGTCAGTGGCATAGCTCTGAGATTTATAGTGCACCATTTTGTCACTTGTCAAAATGTCTTTGCAATTCACTGAAGATGTGAATCAAGCATGGGAGGGGGAAAAAGACAATGCAGTGTAAGCACAGCACATTGGTGCTCAAGAAAACCCCAATGCAACCAGTATAGTTTATTTTGCCCTAACCAAGTTGTTATTTTCATCTGGAAAAGGTAAAAAAAAATGTTTGAGCTCCCTTTCGCATTTGCTGGGCGTACTTTGGGCTCCCATGTAGTTGGTGTTCAGACAAACAGGGCATTTGTGATGTTTTTAAACCCTTACCTTTTACTTCCAGTTTGCAATCAACTTCTGCCTCTCCAAGTTCGTTGACTGCTCGGCAGGTGTAAGTGCCTCCATCATAGGGACTGGGTTTGCGGATCTCCAAGGTACAGACCCCTTGGTTGCTGAACATTCGGTACCTTGGGTCATTCATAATAAGGACTTTGTTTTTCAGCCAGGTTATTTTGGGCTGTGGTGAAAACAAAAGAAAGCCCACGTGCACTATGAACGGAAATATTTTACCACTTTCTGTGATGTTCAGTTAAAGCTGGGTAATCCAGAAACAGTACAAAATAAAGTGGTGATAGAAAGGAAACTAATTCTTAAAACTCAAATGTAAACACGGGCTGCATCATGCATCTAGTTTTAAGCATGTTTTTTTCAGTGCAGCTCCTATTACAGAATTAAAGTCATAAATATAAGCCCGTTATCAATATAAGAGGCACTGTGTAATGATAGCAAACATCTGAGCAATGACTTTTGACATCTGATTACTCAATAAGAATGTGTTTTGGCAGTAATGTGCACAGTCAGAAATAGTGAAAGTGAACAGAAAACAGCAAACATGTTCTTATACACTCTTTGAATTCTCATTTTACTAGGTCAGTTCAGTTTCTGACAACAGAAAATTGATCACAAAAAATACAGCTCAAAAGAAACTGGAAGATGCATTGCACAATGAGTCTGAGAACCAATGTAGTCCTCGGAGTATTCCTGCAGTGTTCTTACTTAAAGCATGATCAGCTTTTTTATGTAGAATAATTATGGCTTTATTTTGGTAACAACTTTTATTATACGTTAGCTGTACAGCTCTTGTCAGTGCTCGTCCCCGTATAACCCAACAGGTTTCTGAGGTTCTGCCTTTTCACTGAGTTATCTGTGGATTTAGTGACTACTAGAATTCCTGTAACACAGGTAAGCAGATCCTCTTTTGTTTTCTTTAGAGCCCACAGCACTCTTTTTGCCTCCAGCCTGGCTTGTGAGCAAGACAAATAGTAAAAAAGGTATTACAATTTTTATTGTCAGGTCTTAAGCGATGCTGTTATGAGCTGTACCTTGGGGTTGCCTCGAACGCTGCAGTTCAGAGTAGCGTTGTAACCAGCTACAGCAAATGTGTTGATTAAAGGCTGAGTAAACAATGGCCGTTCACTGAAGTCAAAATCGTCATAAACTGGGTATTTGTAGACTTTACCTATGAAATGAAAATAAAACACTTGTGAGAGTGTTGCTATGTATTTAAATAGCCAAGCATCTTAAACAGCGACAGAGCCAGTTCTGATCTGCAGTGCTTTAGTAACCAACATGCCTAGTAACTGCACTTCTAGAGGAGGCTGCAAGCAAGCCTGCAAAGTGATTATAGCTCTTGGTCACGCTGTAGCGGGGATGTCTGAGAGCTTATCTTTTGTTTCCTGAGTAGGTGGTGTACAAAGTAGTACGTGTTTATTCTGTGTCTTTGCCTGCATGCCCTGCGTGTTACAGAACAGGTCGGATCCTGACTGATGTACTGAGGAGTTCCTGACTCTTGTTATCTTTGTTGTCAATTACTGTTCACCATTTGTTGGGACTACAGATTGGCTCCGTATCTGAAAATACCTTTTTCTTTCTGCTTGTCTTGGTTTGAGCTAGAACAGAACCAATTCTGCATTCAGTGATTGTACTGTTCACCTCAGTCTCTCCTAAGTGACTGCACTTTCTGAAGTTAATGATATATTTTTGTATCGAGTGATAACACGATGTTTATAGTTACTACCAAGGACTGGTATGCAGAAAGGCTCTTGCTTATACTTGCTACTATAGAAGCCAAGGTCACTTCTAAATCTTCTGTGCCATGTTGGGGGTGCTGGGAAGTAAAAGGTTGTAAGTAAATAAAAGGTTACACTTGCACTGTGGAGCGGACAGGACAGGTGACCCAAACGTGACCAGCAATGTATTCCATCCATATATGTCATACTTGGTATAAAGCTGAGGGATCACAAGGGTCAAACCTTCCTCTATCACCAGCGTCTGAGGAGGATTTTTTCATTTCTTCTTCCTTTGATCCCAGTCTGTGCATTTCCTGAAGTCAGTTCCTGAACCTAGTTCCCATCTGCCACTGAGTCCAGTCTGGGACTTTCCCAATGTCAGTCCCACAGAATCAGTGGGGGGATAATCCTTGGGGCAGTTCAACATTGTTTTGTGTATATACTTATATATACTTTGTTATTTTCTTATTAATATTATTGTATTTTCTTTTTATTGTTACTGCTTCATTAAAGCTGGTTTTAGATTCTTTTTCCAACCCCTAAGTCTCTCTCCCTTATTCCCTTCCTCTTCTAGCGAGGGAGAGGTGTTAACAGAGAGCATCTGTTATTTGTTTAGTGACTGGCCCACCTCTAACCCTTGACACTGCTTCATACATACAGTGCACTAACCATACAGTTAACTGAACAGATGTAGTTTCTGCACAAGGAAAACATGGTAGGAAAATCTAGTTTCTCACTGGATGCTTTACTCCTGCTTGACATGGAGATTATCATCAATAAATCATCTTCACCTGGACAGACTGACATCTGTTCCATTGCACAGGTATCATTAAACATCTTTGCTTCACTGAAACCTGATCCAAGCTCTCGGTGACCTCAAGTGTAGCTTCAGCCTGATACTTGCTCTCATGACAAGGGCAAGGAAGCAATGGTGAGAAGCAATTCCTATAGCCATTCTTTTCTTCATGATCCCATTTTAAAGAGAAAGGTTCTTTTCTTTTTTAATAATGGAAATAGGGTGGGCAGTGACCCACCACTTCTAGCAGAGCAGCTTCTTTGCTCCTTTTCCAGCTTTTGCCAACTTAGGTCTGCCAGTGGTGACACAAGATCTAAGATCCTAGAAAACGTCAGAGCATAGGAAAAATGTCCCACTCTTGATTCCAAAAAATCCACTATGTGGACAAACCCAGAGGTCCTAAATGAAATGTCCTAGCTGTTCCTTGTACCTGATTCTGGCGCTAGAAATGCATTTGAATGCTTTTGAGGTAAGGCCTTCACCTCTCATCACCTTTCAGCCTCTGAACACACCCCTTCCCTTTTGACAAGGAATGGATAATTAACTGACCATCCTTTGCAATCAAAGCGCTCTCTTTGGTCATTGTTGCGTCCTCACTGAGGCCGCACATGTTTTCAGCGAAGATCCGGAAGTAGTACTCATTTCCTATGACAAGCTCGTTAATGGTGGCACTGGTGCGGTGGTAGTGCTCCATTACTGTGAACCATTCCTGAAAGACACAAACACAGGGATTAAGTGTCCCCACAGCACCCTGTACTCCTCAGCCATTAACTGTTTGGAAGAATCATCGAGCTTGTGGGAGTAAGATTTTTCTTTTAAGGGAATGTTAATGAATACTAAAATAGTGAAGCTAACAATAATTAATGAAATGAGTGATGATGAGAATAATATAGAGCTCATTGCTGAGCAGTGAAGGCAAACTGGAAAGCAAATCCTACTGAATTGTTACACTCTGTTGGCTGGAAGGATTCATTCTAGGAAATCCAGTAATACAAACGTTGCATTGCGTGAGGCCAGGCAGGCAGGCTCCTTCATTCCTAGTCCAGGCTGCTGACAGAGAAGGTGCTGCTGCAGATAAAAAAACTGGAGGCTTGGATGTGGGGAAAAGTAATAGCATAGAATCATAGAACCGTATCAGTTGGAAGAGACCTAGAAGATCATCGAGCCCAGCCTTTGTCACAGCCCTATCAACCTACTAAACAATTCCCCCCAACACAACATCCACCCATCTCTTAAACATCTCCAGGCAGCTGTACTAGTATATACTAGGAGCATGTACTAGTCTGCAGTAACATGCGCTCACAAGAGGCCAATGCATTAATCTACACCTTCTTTCACAGGTTGAGCATTAATGAGAAATGTGATTTTATGCAGGTGGTGCTTTGAGATCTAAAGGCTCAGATGGGGAGGTGTGTTTTAGTGCTTTGGTCTTGCAACAGTAACAGGACATGTAGATTCTATCCTAGTACACAATACCTAAATAACAACCTGAGATGAAAAAAGTTAATGCTAAAAATGCAATTAATATAAAGTGTGATAGGACCACAGCAATGTTTTTGCTTTTCTTTACTCTGCCCTACATACTTTTCTTGCTTTTTTTAGAGATAAACTTCTGCTGAGTTCCTTGTGCCACAGTTTGTGTTGATATTTTGGTCATCTTTAGGAGTCAAAGTGCCTTTTGGGAAAATAGTTTTCTGCATAGTTTTTTGCAGCTATGCCAGAATTGCAAAACTCAGCACCACTACCACAAACTATGACCTGAATGATCCACGGCACACTGTACCCTAGATACTGCTGTTGTTGCTTTCTCCTTAACACAGTAACTTAGACATGGGACACCATTGCCCTGCTCACTGTACAGACACCTTCTCTTCTTACAGTCTGAAGAGAAAGAAAAAAAGGATGGGAAGGGAAATATTGGCACAGGAAGAATGAATTTATTAGACTATGAAGCAGATCAACTTATTGAAGTGGGCAAAAAAATTCCCTTAGATAAGGTAACTCCCAAAATACTGTCCTAGATTTCCAGCGTTTAATTTTACAGTAAGTGTTAAATGTAAGAGTCCAACTGTCTTTTAAGGAAGATTCATGTCAGTTTAATGAAAATAATAAAGGTCTCTATATTGTACTTGTCATCTGTAAATCTCAAAGCAGTTTATGAATGACATATGTACCATTTTGCCATGGGTAGTGAGGAGTGGCAACAACTTACACAATCTGACATTACAGGTTTAAAAACAACAGCGCTACACTTTGATTCTAGTAGCAACGTACTGACTTTGGAATCAATACTTTTAGGTTTTACTTTTCTACTGAGACCAAGGAAAAAAAGTAGAATGGTTTCCCTCAAATCCACCTGTCCTTTCATTTTTAGCATTTCTCTTTGGCACGATCTGGAAATGTTTCCATTTCTAGGCTTTTGGTACAGAGAACAGGACATTTTTAGAGATACCTTGCAGATTTTCCAAACACTGACTAATAAATGCTTTATCCATCTACATCAATTTGAGCATGTAAGGCTTTTTTGTCTGTTTGTTTGTTTTCAAGGGAGAATTCATGAATGCATCAGCCTTTTAAGCATCTCCTTATTACTTACCATACTCTTCTTATCTGCTTTTTGAATAGTGTACCCGGTAATGGCAGAATTGCCATCATCTTTTGGTGGCTTCCATGATAAATTTACATTCTCTCCCCAGACATCCTCAATAGTTACAACCTCTGGTGGGCCTGGGCGATCTGTAATGAAATTGTGGCAGCTGACATTTTCCACTGTTTGCTTTCTCTCTCTCCCCTACACTCATCTTCCACTTAGTTTCCTTTCTCCCTCTCTTTCTTAAAACGCACACATGCCAAAACCAACATCAAAAGAAAGCTGAGGTTGCAAAATAAAACTTTCCAAAGATAAGACGTGTCAGAATTATGAAAAACTTAACTTGACCGCTTTGTGAGTATGGTTTCTAATATGCATATACCCTTTAATGGCATAAGGACGTGATATTTTGGAAAAATTAAAACCAGCTGAAGGTGTGTTGCTAAGAGACAAAGTCAGACAATCATTAGAAAGGTTGTGCTACCAATTTTGCCTTTAACATAAAGAAATAGATTGATAAAAGTGAAAAATAAATGTGTTTTCTTGTCTCTCTTTCCTACTTTCACGTACATTTCTACATTTCTTCCAAATTACACTTGTGACAGTTACTATGAATTTACTGCCATTTCTGGTTACGGATACCACTTGCATCCTTGATAGACTGAAACACGAAAAACGTAACAATGAAAAAAAGAGATTGACGTATTCCGTCAAGCACCTGCCATTGGACAGGGAAGTTTACTTAGAGACCACAAATCTATAGCTGAGTAATTGGATGTGGAGAGTTATCACTGCCGAGAAAGACGCTCTTTGAGATTTTTCTCTTTTCCTATAGACTCGGAATGGCTGGAATCTGCTTCTCTGGCATGCATTTATTTCTGTTGCTCAAAACATACCAACAATCTGAATATCTATTGTAGCTTTGTCCACCAAGTTCTCTACTTGCACTTTCATGTCATATTCTCCCGAGTGGCTCCTTTCTGCCTTTCGGATGAAGACGATAGTGTCATTTTCAGTGTTGCGGATGTTGATTTGATTCTTGTCGATTGGAGAACCATTTTTCTCCCATGATACTTTTGCCCTTGGTCTTCCCTGTAAGAAGCCAGGAAACAATTCATATACGATTTTAGGAGCGAAAAGGGTGGGAGAGAAAATGGATTTATTTCCAATTTTTCCCAAATGGAGAAAAAAAAATCCCGAAAGAAACTGATTTTAGAATCCTACAGCATTTGAGATGCAATCATATTGATTCACCTAAAATACATCTTTTTCCTTCCCCCCGACCCAGGAGACTAAAGAATATTTGCAAATTCCAGCCAAATTATACAGATAACTTCCTGGCTAAATTTGACAATTAATGTCTAATTTTCTAAAAGAAAAATGAGAAAAGAGCAGAAAATGCAGAACAGAATATTTCACCCTCTGGAAGTGTCTATATTCTCTACACTGCCAGTGAAAGAGGAAAGTAGTGGGCTAAGCCTCCAGAGATCCCAAACTTTCTTGTTTCGTTGCAAAAGCTGTTGGAATAGTTCTTAGGTAGGCTAGATTGATTTTGTTTTTTGCCTTTTTTGTGGGCCTAGCAGTGCCCAAATTAGGTATTTAAGTCAGAGAATTCCACCTGGTTTACCACAGGATTTACCTTCCAGAAGCAAACAATTTGCAGATGCGGTCCAAAAATTGATAATTTCACACCTTTTTTGAATGCCTTATCTTAGAGAATAACCACAGAATGTTCCTTTAATTTCTCAGGAGCAGAAGATCTTGCATTGTAATGCTGATCAGGCTTTTATTAGGCTTTAACATCCATGCAGAAGCTGGATTATGCCCACCCAGTGTCTTTAGGTGTGCAGACATGAAAAGAATTTTGATATAAATCTTGTAGTCAGAAGAATAAGAACCCTGCAGGTAGGGTCCCTGTTGTAAAGGGTGTTGGAAGGAAGGCTAACACAATGCTGGGGGAAAACGTGCTGTGTCCTTAGAAATGGTTGTATTACAGCTGTGATCTCAGGGATTTAAAAGTTGCAGTTTTTATAGGAGATAGTGAAACCCTGGCCACTCTTCCCCTCTGTTTCCCTCTCTATGACCAGAAAATGCTTAAATGCTGTAGTGTCACCCTTGATACTATATCTAACTGCTGCCAGTGTAACCATTTTGCATTGTGCTAGCAATTATCTCACATGTGATGTGTACTGTGAGGACTTACAGGTGTGTCCTTTGTACGGATGATGAATCAGTCTGTCTAAGCTAGTTACTCAATTGATTAGTTGGCTGAACATCATTTCTTTGAGACATCAAAGCAAAAGCTTTCAAACACCTATCTACTTCATTGTGCTTCCATATCTGCTTAAGTTAACTCACTGGCCTACCAAAGTTACATACAAATAAGTTAAAAATCAGCAGGATAAGAGAAAAAGAGTATTTTTCTGATGGTGTTTTTAGTTCTTACCTGGAAAGGAATAACAAGATTCACAGTTTCTCCAACTCTTCGAGTATAGGTTTGTTTTAAGTGTCTTGGTAGACGAATCTTTGGAGGTTCTGAAAAAAGTCAAAAGCTTGTGTTTGACATTTATCTTCTTTTCTAACTGAGGCAGAACTTGTAGGCATCAGAATAAGCAGAAGACTGTGTGGTCTACAATTCCCAGAAGTCACTAATGAGTGAAGTATCTTGAATTCCTTGGTCTCACAATGTTACATTCTGTACACCATTGTTTTCTATAGTACTAAATGCTATGGTGGTAGGAATAGGAAAGAAACTTAGCGCAACTTTAAAAAAACAACATGAAGTTCAAAATCTGGGGGAAAAAAAACAAGCCTTGAAAACTTGAGCAATAAAGGCTGAGAAATGAAACAAATAAAAAGAATTCTGAGTTTTTTCAAAGATGGTTTCATGATTTCTAGCCATTGCAAAATGGCTTTTTATGGTCATACCACCAGTTTCCAAAAACAAGCAAGTATTAGCCTTAAAAAAATAGAGCTAAGTATGGAAGCAGAGTGTATTTGTGGTTGAGCATAGGCAGGAGGATCTTACCTATCACTTCCTTGACTAAAATAGGCTGTGGGTGGTACCTGGGCTCACTTTCACCAGCAGCATTCACAGCTTTTACTCTCACAAGGATTTTTGAGCCAGTTGGCAGGCCATTGATAGTGAACTTCGTTTTGTCTGTCAGCTCTGGGTTAGCCACGATCCATTCATCAGCTAGTTTACAGGAAAGAGAATGAGGAGGACAAATCAAAAGAATAGAGATTTAGAAATACATCCACAGTACGGATGAGGAACACTGCAGAGCAGTAGTAGATTCATTATATTCTAATGAATACCTTTATTTTGTTTTTCTAATTATGCTATAACATGATATTGGTTCACTTTCATGTGTAAGAAGAATGTCTCAAGCCTTAAAGCATTTCTGCTGATTATATATTTATATTTAGAGAAAAAAATGTTTTCAGAATGTGTCTATCATTTAACTGTAGCAGAAAGAAAACTGAATAGTTTTTTTAATTCAGCTGACAGAAAACAAGAGAAACATAGAGTGTATTACCAGAAGCACTCATCATTGCTTTAAGAGCTTCCTAGGAGAGAAATGGTTCTTACAATTAGTTTCAACCAATACTGAGTACTCGTGAAAGTACCACTGAGCACAAGGGTGAGAGAGACACAAATATTTACAAATTGCAATGAAATGTCATCTCTTCTCAACCTTTTTAAAGAAGAAGGCTGTGTCAGAATTATTCACAAAATTACAGCATCTCAGATTTTTTATCCTACCCCTAGGCAGTTGACTGTAATTCATAGAGTACAACAGTACAATTTTCTTCTGAAAAGCTTCAATTACAAATGATACTTTATTTTCCACCATATCCTCCAAACATAGATTGTTTTAACACTGCTGGCATCTTGATGTTCGGAGACAGATTTATTGAGCAGCAAGTCAGTATCAATAATTTCCAGATCATATAAAGACAGCGTTATAAAATTGGCACAGAAGACAAGAGAACTCATATAAACTAGAGAGCCCTGCAGTCTTAGACTGCCAAACTGTAGTGAATTTTCATAACTTGTGTCGTACCTTTATGAATTAAGTTTTCCTTTAAGCTGTTTCTTTCAGCTTCTAGCTGAAGAGGACTGAGATCAATGACTATTTCCCTAGCACCTCCCCCTCCCCTTATAGATGTACTACAGCAAATTCTGTAGATTGTTGCCCCTGAAATTTGCTCTTTACTTCTATGACAAGAATTTTTCTTTCATTAAAGAAGAGTTATATCCTTTGTGGAATACTGTACCTTCCAGGTTAAAAGGTGGCTCCACCAATTCCTCAGACAGATCTGTCGATATACCTTGTGAGAATCCATCTTTAAAATTAATCAGAGACACCCACTTTCACACAGATGGAGCATTTTGTCAGTGGTTAGCAATTCCTGTTAGTAAGTATGCAAAGATAGATGCTGGGCTTTAAAGATTACAGAACCCATATTTATGGAGACTACAGAGCGGAAAGAGAAGGGAAGAAGGCATCTAGATAAAAGAACAGTTATGCATGATGCTCACAGGAAGGCTAAAGGATAAAGGAATACAAGTAGATAAGGTTGTTTTTATTCTTTGGGCTTAATCACAGCCATGGAAAGATTAAAAGAAAGAGACAAAAGGAACATTTGAAAGACAGAGATGAAAAAAAATGGTGATGGGGGAAAGTGTAGGAGGAGAAAAAAAAACAACATAGAAGAGAGAAGAAATTTGGAGACGATTTCCGAGTAAGAAGGACAGAAAAAGAGAAGTCTTGGGAAAAATGGTTGAGAAAACAAAGGAAAAACAAAGGAAGAGAACACATTTAGCTAAAGGCCACATAGAAAGAAAATTAAAGAAGGCCAGAACCGTGGATGATGACAGATATGATGTAATCACTAAAGCTTTATTTCCTGGACAAAGTGATCACTGTCCTGGATTCCCTAGAATCCTGACTTGACTATTTTCAGGATAATAAAAATACTATTCTAATATCTGTGCATGGTCCTGGATGGGTACACTGGCAAAGAGCTCAGCAAAAAAAGACTCTCTGAAGTACTTATTTGCTAGCTGTGAAAAGAGATCATCTGCAGGTATGATGGCCCTTTAAAGGCAGATAAATATCATGTCCTAGAGAAAACTAGGGCCAAGCAGTTGGCAACATGTATTACTAGGAATTGACTTCTCTAGTGTTGACAAGATTTGTTCTACTCTACATCACCAGGGCAAGAGGTTCAAGTTGGATGTTGTAAACTAGCCCTGGGGAATTATGTATTCACATTATTCACACCTAGGCAATGCCAGATCCAGGTACTCGTGATGAGAATCCGGTCAGTAATATATACAGAAAGCTGTCAAAGGTGCTACTATAGTAAGGAAGTACCCATGTAGATCAAGTTATGAGGTTCACACTAAAGGAAAATACCAGTTTTTGCGAAGCCAAACCAATGCTTATGGTACATGATTCTTCTAAATTATAGTTATATATGTATTTTGTCTTCCTATTTTTAGCCTGTGATTTCTCCTTATGATAGCAAAGATAAGAAAGACTCAAAAAAGCCCTCTTTAAAACGACCTCAGTGACAACAATGAAAGAATGGAACGGTAAAGACAAATGAGTTTAAAAACAGGTAACTAAAAGAAAAGAAGAGCAGAATGAATATAGACAGTCATAAAAAGTACCTTGAAATTAAAAAGAGTTATTAAACATAATGGAAGAAATTAGTTTGAGGCAGAACAGGCATTGAAAGGACTGAGAAAATGAGGCACTGAGATATTGCAAGAAAGAATAGAAGGACTGAACACAGAGAAAAGGATGTATATTTCAATAACACATCTTTTTTAATTGGTATTTTCTAAGTTTGCTTCTTCCTAACCATTTTCATAACATATATACATAAATAATGTCAATAGTGTATATATAAATGTATATGCATATATAGAAGGCATATATAGATATACATAAACACTCAGAAAGCTATGTAAAATACATTGTACCCATTGTATTTTAACTGGGGTGGGTAACAGTAAAATGACAGGCTTGACTGCCGTTTTGTTGTATCTTCATGTGTTTTAAACCTATCTGAAAAAAAAAGTAAAGAATTTGTTCCATTCAACAGGTATACAATGATCTTTGGTCTAATACTCTTTAAAAAGTAAGTTGAAAGATTCCTCTGAAAGCCATAGTTTGCATTAGTGTATGCATATTTCTCATTCTCTTGTCACCTAATTTGGATATCACATACTGTAACATCAAGGATTTTGTGATGGTAGCATATTAAAAACCCTTTTAGCTTTTTCCCCACCATCCTACTAATGCTAAGCCAAGTATTATATATGGCATACACTGCAGTCCTCACAATGACCTCCCCTTTATATTCCCGTACATCTTGCCTGTGCAGTGGAAACTTTATAGGAATGCTGCGTCTTGATGTAAAATTGCATGCTTACTCGTTCTGAGCTCCCTCCCAATATACAAAGAAAACCCTTCCTACCATTCCAGCTGTGTCTGCCTTCAGGTAATCTTCTCCAGACCTCAGAGCTTCATGCAGTCTGTTCCTGCTCCTTATAGATATTCAACTCAATACTACAAGATGCTGAGTGCTCCTGAGAAAAGCCAGTAGTTCTTCTTCACTCCCTCTCCCACTCGCCTGAGTGTAGAGCTGAGGGCCCTCTGCTCCTGTGGTATCTGACCACCTTTGTGAACTACTGTTTTCCTGGATTGTCTGAATCTGAAACACGTGACAGTGTGAATGACAAGCTCTGTCCTCTATCTCTGTCTCCAGGCTGTGGACTGCATTCATGAAAAGCTTTCAGTGAAATAAATGACTTGATGAAAAAAAAAAAAAAAGCATCCAGCTCATCACTTGGTTTACAGAGCAGTAAGAGCAGCAGCTAGCTGAGCAGAAGAAAACTGTGTCCAATTTATCCAAATACACAAGATTACTGGAGTCCCAGTGACTGGCATTTGCCTGCAGAGGCTGCGTACTGCAAATATCACTCCAGGCTGTTTGATACTTACCCAGGTGATGGTGGATTTTACTTTTTGAAAACATACTTAATTTGATCCCAATTCAGAAGAAAATCTGCTGGAAAATACTAAGTTTCTGATGCTTGATCAACAAAGACTCTTAGTTTTGATATATAAATTATATTTCTCTGTTATTTTACTCTCATAATTTTATTCAGTCTCTTACATCTTTATCTTTCTCCTTCAGTTTTGTATAGATTCATGTCTGTAATAGACATAGTTAAAGATCCTGTATGTAAATACACTGAAGCATTGGAGAAATTCAATATCCAGACATTGACTTTGCATGCCTATATTACTTCTACAGCCAGCTATTGGAGAAGCTATCGGTCCTGAGTATTAGGGACTGGCACTTGAAGTAGCCAGTTAGTGATACATCAAGATAGCGATTACCACACTGACAACCTCCTGTCCCTGAAACCTATCCTTCCTACACATTTTAGACAACACTTATAGCTATTGATTATTTCCTATTCATTCATCCTTCCACTCTTTACTGCTTCGATTCTTCACCTAGCTCAAAAGAGAAGATAACGATTAACATGGTACTTGGTGCACTACAACAGATTACATGGTTTTTGATTTGGATTCCAGATCAGATGTAAGATGGGTTAAACTACAATCAGTGGGTGGGATCTGGAACACAAACCAAAGGAAGCCTGAAAAAAAACCCTGTTACTTGAGGTTTTCTGACTGATTAGTCTCTGCCTTAATGTGAGAGTGCCCAATACCTGTAGAGGAAAAATGGAGAAAGTCTCACCTACTTTCAGTATGGGTAACTTACCACAGCGGTTGTCACTTACTTCCTTCGAAGCAGTACTCTACAACATAGCCGTCTAACCCTGCCGCTCCGATGTGGTCTGGTGGCCTCCATTTCATTGTGACTGTGGTATCAGTCACACTGTCCACTGCCAGGAGAGTTGGTGGACTGGTAACAGCTGAAGCAAGCAGGCAGAAGAGAGAAGGCAGAAAACTGTGTTACAATTAGAGCTTTAAACTTTAGGTGAGTATTCCTCTAATAAGCATCACAGGTGACAGGCTAAATCCTGCCCACCAAGCATTTCCAATCATCACTGGCACGTCTTTCTCAACTAGGACCAAACTAGGAGAAGCAGGTACCTCATCCCATATCTGCTCATAGCCTAAACTGGATTTTAATTCCTCCTGCTGAGGAGCAAGATCCGTGGAAGATAGAGCAGAGAAGTTACGAGCAGTGTGTTCTACAACAGCAGTTATTTCCTGGCAAGAGGAGAGTACTCTGCAGCAGTAATGGCCACTTTCTTCCTCCTCCTCTGCATTGTGCGGTTTCCACTAAACAAGATGGGAACCTTTGCTGGGCCACCAAACAAGACACTTTTCTTTCACAACGACTTGTGTTTGTCACAAGAGTTTGAAAAGCTGTTTCTTTATGTAAAAAGACCACCAAATTAGTCTGTGGCCAGGTAAATGATGTGGCCCTGTAGCTGTTACATTAATATAAAGCAATAAGATGACATATAGAGTAGTGTAAAATATGACCTAGCCTGATCTGGATTGCCTACAAAAGGGTATTGAAAATACTTTTTCTGGGAAAAATCCCTTTCTGAGAAAAAAGCCCATACTTCAACTAATAGGGATCCGTGAGGCATGGAGTGCAATTAGGGACTGACCAAATGTATCTTATCATATTGCAATATTGAGCAAATTCACTTGATTTTTTCCCCCATAAATAACTACCTTTATGATAGGTTGTATTTGTGTGATTTATTTATTTTTAATGGAAATGTATGAATTATTTGTGAATAATTGTACATTTTTATATGGCAAGCTACTGTGTAACAACAAAGCATAAGTAGTGAAATATGAAAGAAAGACTTATTTTTATACACTGCAGCTTGCAAGTAGTGATCTTTAGAGATATGGTCACTTTTCCTACCTGTTTTTTGGCAAAAAAACCCCTGCTTGACAGAACTTGTAGCAGGAGAAAACCAGATAATATAACTAAGACTATAATCCATCACCTTTATCAGTTCTCTAAATTGGCAGTTTGACTGGCAATAGTTTGAGTCTATTGACTCAAGAGGTACCTATGATACATAAAAACATGAACCTATTAGTTCTGGTCCTTAAAACATATTGACTGTTTTCAGGCTCACCTATAGTATGTCACTGTTTTGTTGTACTGCACCAGTTTTCTGCCTATAAATCCTTGTTTCTTGTTTACAAAGGACCATGAATCCTCCAGGGATAGACATATAGTTTATGCAGCACCTAATTAAGACAGGTCCTGAGCAACATGAGTGCCACGAGAACTACAGTTATGTAATTAGATGACTGTAATAACGTACAAATGATAATTTTCTAAATGCACACCTATCCTGTGACCTTGATTACTTACCTAAAGGAACAAAGGACTTCGAAGGCATGCTTGGTTTGGAAATACCTATTGCATTAACAGCAAATACTCGGACCTCATAAGCAACACCTTCAATCATCTTCTTTGGCTCAAAAGTCGTTTCTTTACACAGTTCAAAATTCAGCCTCATCCACCTGGAGCTTTGTTTCTTTTTCCTTTCAATGAAATATCCTATTGACCAAACAAAATTTTATTATTTTAGGTGGTGGCATGAAGCTCAATGGTGAGGGGTCTTTTTTTGACTCCCCAATGGTGTGTATTCTGGATACACTTCAATACTCCCTTCTAGCCTCAGAGTGGTTTAGAGGTTATTGTTAAATACTTCCCACTGCAAGCTATCTGATAGTCACCTGTTGGGCTTTCATGGCCACATAAAAGCATTTTTCTGGACTTAGAACACTTCTATATTTAGCTTGGAGTAAAAAGGGCTTGATTCTGCTGGCCTCTGAGATCCTCTGACTTTCTTCTTAGTTCAGTGTATTGGAAGATATTTCAATGTGTTCAGCAAATTGTTTCTGAAAATCCTGCTAACATTCAAACAGGCTAACTGTTCAAAGCTTGGTATTCTAAGAGGTTGTCTTTCAAGTAGGGGGATTGATAATGTGGCAACATGCCAAATGACAAATCTCTAAGCAGACAGATATCCAATAAAGTCAAAGATTGAGTAGAGCATTCTTGCAACTCGATACTCAAAAAGGG